TAAGCTGAGATTTTGTAAATTCTGGTTTAATAATTCTTTGACAAGGCTATTAGCATTAAATAGCAAAACGTCAGTAATACATTATCGTTTTGTTTTTCATTCATTGGGAAATACAAAAAACTTTTATATTAATGAATATCATATACCCAATGCCCAAATTTTTTGAAACTTTCATTATGAGTACATCGCAAAATTGTCAAATAATGATAATAGTAAAACCATTGGAAAACCTGGGAATACTGGACAGCTGTGTTGTCCTAGTTTGGGATTCTGCCTCAGCAGTACACACACACCGCCAGAGTTTAACCCAGGACCTTCTGGTTACAAGGCGAGCTCGTAGACTATTAAGTCACTGGGACCCGGTCGAATGGCCCATGAATTCTAACTTCTGCCAATTCATGACATAGTGCAGCCACTAACCAATGTCTTTGGCGAGTATTTGTCATGAAAAAGAAGAAAAAACAGAAAGAAAAAACTAAACAATTTATCGAAAGTGGTCTAGACAGAGCGAGAGAGAGAAAGGAATTAATTCGAATGGGTAGTGACCTTTCGAAAATGCCGCAAAGTACATGAAAGAAAAGTTCACATCACGTTAAACCGATACTAACCAGAATGCTCAGAACGCGAGTAATATAGATTTTTGTGTATCATCAGAGTCATTACTGGGAAAATATTAGCACTGACAGTGAATTGACGAAGTGAACTTTGTCAGTCAGTTGTTCTTATGGCATATAGTGTCTAAGAACACGGACCTATACCAAACAGAGAGAAAGATGGAGACCATGAAATCAGTAATACTTAGCAAAACAGTAATGTGGTTCAAATCAGACAGATGAAGAAAAGTCAATCTGAACGAAGAATATTCTTTTCAATAATTTCTCTTCAGGTTCTTACAATTATAAAATATAATATTTGTTGTCGTTACAATAAGGCCAGTTATGCGGCAGATACATTTTTAACGTAGAATAACAGATTAGTTATGGGGTGTCAAAATAAATAGTCGTATTTGTGTGACAAACGTGCTAGGCTGAATTCGATTACAAAATAATGTAAAACGGGAGACAATGGTGATTAATCATAATAGATTTGTAGAGTGGGGGTAGGAAAATTGACAAGTCAGTTCAAGGTTATAAAAGGGTGTCAGGTGAGTGGCTAGTACAAAGTGGTCTGTGTTAAACAGGAGATAGTAAGACTGCATTGGGAGGTTCATAATGATATAACGAATATGTAAAATGAAACAGGTGGAGGCATATATTGAGAAAAGAGATTATATCACTAATAATAAGTCCGGATAGTATAAACGAAAAAAAAAATTCGATAGTATTGAGAGAATGTTTGCATGAAGGGCATAAATTATGACGAATAATGATAATATTAATAATAATAATAATAGTAATAATTGTAATAATAAGCAAAGGAAAAAAAAAAGAAGCCAAGAGGGTTAAGGGGAAGGAGCACTCTTGGTGAGAAGAAGAATCATCAATCCAAGTTTGGCCACGGTAGGAACAGCGTCTGGACGTGTTCTTTTTGGATACAAAGTTCCGGTTTAGTCGATCTTATTGCAACAGCTTCAGCTATGTGTAGAAGACGTAAGCGAACTGTACGTGATAACAACTTCGGAATTCGGTATATAACCCTGAAAGCTGTGTTGACATCGATATGATGTCCAGTATCGACCAAGTGTGACAGGATCGAGCTTTTTATGCACTTAATTTCCCCTCTGCTGAACCAAGCTGGTATATGTTCTCGAACCCGTAGACGAACCTGCCTAATCGTGCGCCCTATATAACTTGAACCACAGGAACAGTTGAAATGGTATATGCATGAAGAAGAGCTAAGATTAGGTAAAACATCTTTGAGTTGCTGGGTGAACATTGGACGGCTACTGAAGGATAGACACAGACGTGCAGAGTAGAAAGTTTTCTTGATCGCCCTGGTTAAACGTTGCGATAGAATCTCCGCAGGAGTATCTCCCTTGAATTGGAGACGTAAAAACAGAGGCTTTTTCTCCACCGTTGTCAGTTCATGTTTACGGCTATTGTAACCTATGTTTGCTTTAATGAACTTCTCTGGATATCCGTTCTCACTTAGAATGTCTCGGATGACCTGGAGTTCTTTCTCTACACAGTCTTCGGAACAAATCGACCTTGCTCTAAATGCTAAGCATCTGATCAGATTGCGTTTGTATTTCATCGGTACAAAGCTAAGGAAGTGTGTATACTGAGCTTTGGTCTCTAGCTTTCTACCGATCATTTTCGATACAGTAACAGAAAACAAATGCCGTTTCTGTGAATATTTTATTCTGAATCAAGCCATAACATTCAAATATAAAAAAAACCAGTAACCAACAGAGCCATAAAGCAATGAACAGTTGCATATTCGCGGATTGATTCATGACGTACTTCTGTCGCTTACTTACAGTAAGTTAGTGTTTAAAAAATTATAAGTTCTATGTATGTCGTGTAAAGTATTGATTATATTTATTCAGCTTTATGATTTATAATAAGGCGATATTATATGCATGTCTGGTTTGGAGAGATTGAATTTTGTAAGTTAGGACTCATGGGTCCAATTCCTGGTGACGTCCTCGTTGTAGGGTGTTGGTGAGTCCAGAGCTAGAACGAAACAGCTCCTTGGTTTTAAATGTATAATAAAGATTCATACGTCAGATAAAATATGCATTATATTCATTGCATTTTTGCTGACTATTGAATAACCGAAAATAAGAGTTCAAACTGAAAACATGAAAAGTGAGAATAACACTTAAAAGATAATAGATTTGTTTGATGAGGAACAGTGTAATTATTGAAGTATTTTATACAAAGGTTAATATATATTAATAAGAATGAAAGATATGTTAATCAGCGTCAAAGTTGACCTATATAAGTCGAAAATTATAACAAAGTGACTTTATGAAGTTATGACAAAATCAAGAGATGACGATAGCATAGTATTACTCAGAAGAAATAAAGTCTCTACACTTGTGTCTAAGGTATAAAATCAGTTGAACAGGTAACCAGAATGATTCTCTCTGGATAACTTGAATTTAAAGAAAAACGTCGGTGGCACGGCAGTAGAATGCTCGCCAACCACGCCGGTAGTTAGGGGTTCGATCCCCGGCTGACGCACTCCTTTACCTCACTAAGCTAGTAATATGACGGGTAAAGAGGTAGGATTGGGCATGAGGCTGGTAACCCCATCCCGTAAAAATAAATACCACTGCTACTGAAACTTTGAAGCTCTAGCTTGAAACCCTCTGTTCCACTGGGAAAGTAAAGGAATAAAATACTGCCTTATAATATTTAGTGCCATACCTTCATTTGAGAAATAAAAAATCAATATGATACAGTATCCTAATGGACTTATTTGTTTTGATATTTCATGCAATGGAGGATATAATTATTGGTTAGACTCCTTGTGATTATAGTGAATAAAGGCAAATTTCATTGTATTGTGTAATGTCATACACTATAATATCCCCACCAGCCCAAAGGATATTTTCAAATCTTAGAGACTAAAGGATACTATATATGTTTAAAAGAACACACACAGTCTCGTCATTTTACGTTACTCTACACCCATGTGTTCAATAGACTTTCAAAAGCAATCATGTGCTGAAAAACTGTATCTCAGTCGCAGTCAGAATTGTTTATTAGTGTAAATTTTGAAGAATTATAAATATGAATCGCGTTGCTCAGTCACGTCTCCCTGTGATTTAGTGGGCGGGAAAAGTAAAGTGTCACAGTGTTGTGATTGGCTATCTCACCCAGTAAAAAATACCGTCGCTACTGAATTTTCAGAGCTCAAGCATGAAACGTAAAGGAATGGAAGAAGACATAAAAATCAGCGTTCTTGAATTACATAGCTAGTTGTTAAATTCAAATTTAGAATTTCCCATCGATTGATTGGACCGAAGTGCTCGGTCTCAGGTTGACATGTCAGCGTCTTGTGCAGATGCTTCGACGATGTCTGGGCAGTGCGCATCCTAGATTCCAATGCTAGTCACCATCCAACAATTAACTTCTAATTATTTGTCTAGGCATCGTCAAAGCATCTGCACAAGAAGTCGACGTGTCAACCTGAGACAGAGCACCTGGGTCCAATCAATCGATGGAAAAAATCTCAAATTCAATTAAATAATTAATATGACCCGTTGCACAAGAGATGCCTCTCGTGGTCCAAGAGGTCTAGTGGATAACGTTTTGGCTTTTGAAACTATGGGCACTGGGTTCAAACCTCGGTGAGAAAATCATCACTCACTGGGGTATGCAAGTACGTCCAGATGACGAGTCCCAAATAGGACGAAATGAGCATCCTGGGTTCCACTGCAAGTCACTATCCATCATTTAACTTCTACATAACAAGTTGTTATCAGAAAATCTTATCTGGAGGCAGTGTTTATACATTTCAACAAAGATAAGATGACAGACTTCACCTGAATGCTGGATTTCGAACAATCTTATTGTACAAATCCATGCAGAGATTTGTTTTGTATGACTGGAGTAAGTGAAGTCATTTTAAACAACTTAATTGAGATAATATACATTAGAAAATAACAACATTGGAGAACGATAATGTTTCCTCACTTATACCTTTAGTATGAAGACGAATACTAACGAAATACCAAAGTAGGTGTTTAATAAAACTTTAGTTTAGTATTATTATTATCCCTAGATTATCTGACGAGTTGATTTTACGCTACATTTCTATGATCTATTTACCCATAAATGGAGATTGTGAATGTGTTACAAGTAGTACTAGAGTTCAGAAGTTGCTCTATTCATTCATTTGTGAAAAGGTTTCAAGTTACTCTGCTAAAGTGAACGTATGTGTTGGTGACCTTATAACCAAATATTATTTTCGCTGACCACTAATAAACAAATTTTAATTCACTAAGATCCGATTGATTAAACGTATTTATTGACTAAATTTAACCTAGTTATTTGATGATTTATATATATATATTTATACTATTTCATTAAAGTTATTAACTTCATTATATGTCTGAAACTACTGGAATATGGACAAAATCATGTTGCATATCGAAAAGATTAGATGGAAAGTTGGCTATTGTCACTGGATCTAGTGCAGGAATTGGCTTGATTACAGCTGGTGAATTAGCCCGTCGTGGTGCTAAGGTAATCATGGCATGCAGGAATTTATCGAAAGCTGAAGCCGTAAGAAAACAACTGTTGGAGAAATATGGTGTTAACAATCCAGACAGCGTGAATATTGATATAGCCTGTATAGATGTGACTGAGTCATTGAGTCCAATTAAAAATGATCAAGTGAGCATACCATAAAGTTTTAGATAATGATAATAATAATTACTTGTCATAGTTATGTTTGTTTAACTCCGTTGTAATTTTCATCTTGGTGGGAAGATTTAATAGACAGCATATGTTATGACTATATCTGAAACACTCATATTTTCTCCCCGATTGTTTGCAGTTTCGTACAAAAACTAACATCATTTTTGAATTTATTTTGTACTAATGCTTAATATTTGATATAAGTATAAAATAAGTAAAATAAAGTATACAATAATACGAGTGTTATTGATCAATTACAATCACATGGGAAATAAGACGAGTGTTTTTTTAGTGATTAATATTTGATCTTTAAGTATTGATAACTCTGAGTTTCATTTTCCTGATGTCAGATGGCACAACAGTAATGTTAAATAGGAATCGTAAAAGCAGCTCGATTGGGTGAATGAAGAGTTGTAAGTCACAAAATGGTTATTAAACTTTTGCTTTTTTGTCAATTAATATATGACAGTTTAAACATATAAAACCGTCCAGTGATACCTATAGTGTCGGTATTGGTTGTCGTTAAAACTTTAGAATGAACGAAATGGTCAGTTTGCCTCAGTTATGGAGTTGGATATCTGAATAAAGTAGAGCGTACTTCATAGGAATCTCCTTTGCTTCGTGTTCTGAAAACGCCAGATATAAAAGCCCACAAGTAGTTTCTTTATGTTGCTCGCTCAGGATAGTTCTGTAATTGGTGAATCAAGAAGACTGTTCAATGTATTAATAATAATAATCACTTTATTCCACAACAATAACAATTTACAGCATGGAATTTTCAGCGTTTCATTTTACATATTGCATTGGTTTAGCTCTTTTTATAATTATATAAATGTATGAAATGTTAAAAATATTGATAGTTAATAGGAAAAATAAAAAAACCCCAACAAAATCACACCATTTCTAGGTCACAGTGAATAATAAATAAATAATATAACAAATCACACATGCAATAATATGCATCATTACATTTTATAGTTTAGTTAATGATTTAAAAGTTTTAAAAGTTCTTTTCTGATATTCGTCTCTTCACACAATACTCGTGCCAAATATGGTACGGTCGAATTTTTATATTTTGTAGTACGAGCATAAATGTTTATGAAATTTCTTCTGGTCTTACCCGAAGAGATACAAGGAAACAAATGTGAATAAAGAGGATGTTCATTATCAGACAAAATAACTTTAGCTAACTGTTTACAAGAATTCATATGCCTATTGACAACAGTGTCGGTTAGTTGAGTCAAAGGGATAGCACTGACCCTACTTACAGCCCTCAATGTTCTTCGTAGTATTATATGGTCTTTTTTGAGTAGCCCAGGGAAGAATAATGGAGAACAATAAAGAATAATGGACAAAACACATGAATTAATAAATTGTATGAGAAGAGATTGGGTTATACCTGAGTGCCTCAACTTCTTTATGTAATAAGTCAGACAGAAAATCTTCTTAGAAACTATAAGAATATGAGACGACCAGCAAAGGTTTGAAGAGAAACTAATGCCAAGATAAGAAACACTTGACTTACTCTCTATCATGGTACCATCAATATTACAACAATCATGAGATTGGATCAATCCATGCATGTCTTTTTCACTTCTCAAGCTGAAATCAACAGTATTACATTTAGTTGGATTTAGTTTAACACCATTTGAGCTAGACCAATCTTTAACTTGAGCTAAGAAGCCATTCATATGGGAACAATCCAATGAAACTTCATGGAATTAAGTGGCTGGGATATGTTTTACACATCTCCAGCAATTACCATAGGTCATGAGTACAGCAATGGCTAGACTGTTAAGTCAAAACACGACAATAGTTTATTTTGTTTGTTACTGAGGTCATATTGACTGCTCAGTTGAGGTTCTCAGGATATACAGAATCAGTGATTGTAGCCTGTTAGTGACAGAGTTTGTCCAATGTAATGTTATCATGTAATTTGTTTGTGATTTGTTACGACATGCTTTTTAATACCAGTTTTCACCATCATAATTGTTTTTGCAATTTGAAAATTCCCATTCAGTCATAGAAAAGAAAAGGCGTTCAGCAAAGAGTTACTCTTTTCGGCGATATCATTCTCAAGCTGTACAAACCGCAAATTTATAGTAATTTTTCTTGGCAACAAAAGGAATATTTCCAAAGATGGGTTAATGCATTTGTTAATTTTTTGACAACAAATTACGTAATTTAGAAGGCGTTAATTGGTTAGAAACTAAAATAAAGTTACAAAAGTAGGTTGGGTGACGTAATCTAATCTGATAGGGTTCAATGAAAAATGAATGAGAGTCAAGTTAATAAGCTGAGTAGAATTCACTTAAAAATAAACGAAAATGGAGTTCGCAACAGTCGTCATGAGGGTGGAGATTTAATAGACGGTGGGGGTAGAAAATAATGCAATTAAGAAACAGACAAACAAAGAAGAAAGAGGTAAGACAAAATTACGTATTTGGTGTTAAGATAGATCAGGACCATTGTAGATTTAGTGACTGAACAAACTTCTTTTTTATGCAGAGTTCAGGATTCAATATGTGAATTGCCATTGCTTCTGCAGTTTGAAGAAGTTTAATTCATACTCTTTTGGCAAGATTCCCACGTATTGTGTAGATAACTGATATCGCCGGAAAGAGTAACTCTTTGCTGAACGCCTTTTCTTTTCTATAATTGTTTTTTTTTCAAATGTTGCAGGGATTTCATTGATTCCACTTTTGATCACGATCTGAATTCAGCTAGAGAACAATTAAAAACCAAGGTGTACTCCAGGTAGAAGTGGATAAATGGTCAATGAGCTTTATTTGCAGCCTGAGGGTTCTGGGTTCCATCCGTGGTGAAATCACGAGTGCGTAATGTTGAAGAGTCTTAAAATGGGATGCAACAGCTGCCCGGTGCTCTATGCCTTTCAATGATTTTTTAATTTAAAGTTACTTCTTGATCAGAATTGAAAATTCAATTATTTTTGACTTAGAAGACGTATTCTTGTGTCTTGTTATCATTTTACTATAATGTGAATCAGCGGTTCTGGTTTTACTTTCAACATCCACAAAATAATAATAATAATATAAACTCTTAAAACACCTTACCAAGTGGATTTACATCCCAGTTGTTCAGTTCAGGTATCATACAACAAATTAATGAATTTACCAGAGATGTGATTATTGCCTAGAAATTGACAAAATGACATAGTGGCGAGTCCTGTACAAAAGCCGATAAAAAAAAATTTTATGAAGTCATGAAATAGGTGGTATGATAATATTTTGTAATTGTTCCTTGACATTTATGCAGAATATCAGTGTCTATGCTTTGGCATCACTTGGATGGAATAAAGTAAGTTTCTTCGTATATGTGCATCCTAGATTCACATTCACTTCATACTGACTGAAACATTTTTTAGTGAAATTTCATATTCTATTAAATAGAACATTCAAACTCGTCCTTGCTCATTACATGATGTATATTTTATATTGCCATGGTAGTTTCAAATATAAAATGTCATAATAACTAAGGGGAATACACCCTGAGAGTTATCTCTAATTGTGCGTTACTAATTTTGTTCCCTTAGGTTCCGAGTGAAAGATTGCGCTTCAGCAACACATGTACACATTGCCCTGTTTTCTGAAGTTCTGTTTAGCTGGCCCCACGATTTGCTCATGGTGTCTGATCCCCTTCTCGTATGTCTCCACCATGTCACTCTCGGATGCTCTCTTCGTCTTTTTCCATTTGGGTTCCACTCGAGCAATGGTCAGGCGTGCGATGTAACCCAACGGAATACTCAGCATGTGTCCAATCTGTCTTCATTTTCCTCATCATATTTGTTGAACAGTAGGTTCTTGGTTGACTCGTTCCCAGAGTTTCTAGTTGCTGATTCTTCCTGGCCACTTGACCTTCAATATGCAGCTAGCGAACGCAGCTGTTGATAAAAGTCAGCAGTAGCCTATTAAAAAGCTTTTCACGACGAGCCAGCCAAGTTTCCTATCCATTTAAAAAGACGTAATGACTTGACGTTGGTGTTTAAAACCGAAATCCTATTCTTTGTGCTGAGTACAGAAGATTCCCAGGCTGATTTCAGCGTGATAAAAATATACCTTGCCTTTCCCGTTCAGGTTTGGCCAGCCTTTTCCATGCCACCTCCTGTAATTAAAAACGATACTTCCTAAATAAGTGAAGGAAGTAATCTCTTTCCAATCTCTCCCGTTGATAGTAACTGTTGGTGGGTGGATATCTTCATCACCCTGCTCTTTCCCACATTCACCTTGAGTACTGTTTTGGCCATCTACCTTTTCAGCTAGTTTGTTGGCTTCCACCCGTAAGTTTTAGAATTCATATGAGATTAGACATAAATCGACCACAGAGTTCAGGTCTCCTAGAATCCTCATATCGGTCCAACATATTCCTGTCTTCTCATTCACGACACGTAGTCTCCGGCATAATCCAGTACACAACGATTAGGAATATCATCAGTGATAGTTGTCAGATTTGTCTTTCTCTTGGATTCAATTCAGAGGCTTCACTGAGTTTTCTGTCGCAGATCACTTGACGCCAGAGACCGTAATCTACCCAGTTTTTGAATGAAATTGATAAAAACTTGGGCAAGGCACGTCGTAGTTTTGAAGCAGTTTCCAAATTACTTCTCTGTCAACACTGTCCGGTGAAGGCCCTTTTCGAAGTCGATGAAATTTTTGAGGTAGAGACAGGTTTGAATGGCATTCTATGCTTTGTTCTGTGATGATGATGATGAGTGGAGTTGCAATTTGATCAGCACATGATTTGCGTTTTCTGAATCCAGCTTGTTCCAGTGTGGATGGCGGATTTCTGTATTGAGTGCATCTTTTATTCTCTTCAGGATGATGTGACTTAGTATTTTACTTGACGTGGACAAGAGCATGATTCTACGCCAGTTCTTTCACAGGTCTAAGTCGTCCTTCTTTGGCAGCTTCACAAGGTAGCCAGCTTTTCTTTTAATCGGTAGGTACGTTTCCTTCTTCCCAGACCCTTTGAAATGATGGCATCAGCATATCTGCCGCAGTCTCTGAGTACATTCTTAGTGCATCCATCCATCCCTCCGAACTCTAGTAGCCTAATTGCATCGAAACTGCTGTCTTTGTTGAAGGATTGGTGTCCACTGACAGGCAGTTCTGTGAGTGCTGTCGGTAGTTATGGTGTTGCTGCATGACTTGCAGGTGATGGTCGATTCAAGAGTCCTTTGAAGTGACCAGCCCACTATTTTATTTGTCTCGCCTCCCTAGTAATTAGGTGCGTTTGAATAAATGGCTTTAATGGTTTCGCCTGTGTTGATGCATTCCCGGATAGAGACCTGGTTATCTGATTTAGTGTTCTGAAGTTCGTTTTCACCTGTGGCCTTCCTGTTCTGCTTGAGCTGCCAGTGTGTCGTGGAAATGTCTTTTATCACTATCACTTTCCTATCATTCTTCTTCGCTTTTTTTCAGTGTGAGATGTGCACTAAGCTCAGCTTCTCCTTCTGTTTTTCATTTTAGCATTCTGTCATCTTCTCTTTCACCATTGTCCTCTCTTCCATTACGATCCTGTAAACAATATTGTGGAATCAGTAAACCTAAGCTACATGAGACTTTAGATATACTTCATTGTGTGATCCAATTTATATGGAACGATAAATATGTTTCCCAAAATGAGAATAACAAAGGTAGAATTGTTGTATTCAATACAAAACATTTTGCCATTCTAATAGCGATGTGTTTGTTGACAATAATTAGTCAGTATAGGTATATCAGTAGATATATTAACTAACCACGAAAATCAATGCAGGCAGTTAGGGGGTAGAAATGATCACAGCAAGTGGATTGGACAACGCATAACTTTGAAAAAATGAAGAGTAATTAAGAAATATATGAGTGTTCAAGTTAACTACGCAATAGGTAATTTAAGGAAAATAAAATAATTTGGATAATGATAACTTGTAAAAGGCTTATAAGGAGGACAAAATTGTAGGGTTTTTTACATTCCCCTAACGATGATCACGGTGACGAAAGCAGCTTCATGAATTTCTTTTGAACACACAGGTTCAGCTTCTTCAGGTTGTTTCCTGTGACTTCAGCTGTATGTAGAAGACCAGCTCGTAGAGCAAAATTAATATCGGTCGGAATGCGATAAATAATTTCCAATGCTTTGTTAACTAAAATCAACTTTGCGCTTACTGTCTACGTGGTGCCCTAAAACAGAGCTAAGCATAGATCTTGCTTTTCTCTTGCTTGACTATGCAGGACGATGTCTGGAAATATGATGATGAACTTTGCTAGCCATATGCCCAATGCAGCTGGCTCTGCAGCTGCAATCAGTCTGGTAGATACACAGAGAGAGGGAGAAATAAGGTACTTTGTCATTGTATCTCAGAATTAAATTCAGAGTGGTTGTAAAGAGACAGAGTGCTCCTACTGAACTGAATGTTACTTTTAACTGCCTTCTGGCAGTTTGTTACTATTTCGTTGGTGTTATCCCCAAGGAACTGTAGTTTTATGAACAAATGTATTTTAGGCGTTGTTGCCACATTGACTTGGTGCTGTCCACTTGTAATCATTTCTACACGTAAATTGTTTGTATTAATCTTCTTGGCTAATTATCACACCTAGTGAAATGTCGATAATAACTAATTGCTGCGTCGATGGCACAGTGGTTTAGACTCTCGCCGACCATGCACATGGTCCAGGGTTTGGCCCCCTACCGACGCACACCTGATGTCAATGGTTGGCCTGCAGAATTTGTCTACCGATGTCACATGTTGGAAATTCCTTACTTGTACCAAAAATAAAAAACATATCGCCATTTGACTGTTAAAATTTTTTTATTGTTTTAAAAGTACTATACACATTAGAATAGAGCCAGAGATAAGGATCTAATTGAACAGTAATTATTTCTTCGCTCACTCTTTTTCTCTAAATGAGAATTTTCTCTGTGATGGAGATTTGCAGCACAGGTATATGTTTTTAATAGGGTCGGGTGGTTTAATTGCGAAGTTTTCATTGTCTTTCTTTCGAAGTCAGTCCCGATGACGTTGTCAAGGTAGACAACGAAAGCTTCGTAATTATAAATCACCTAACTCAGAGAACACAGCTACATGAAAATATATCAGGATTTTATCTTGTATTTGTTAGTTTCAATTCAGTTATGTGCTTAATGTAAGTAGCCTAACATTCTTTCCCACTACCCATTTTCAATCTGTTATTTAGTTGATTATTGAAGAGCTTGATTTGGCCTCTCTGGATTCAATCAGACAGTTCGCTGATCGAATAAACTCCAAGTATACCGAGTTGGACATTCTAATCAATAATGCTGGTCTAATTGTTGGTAAATACGAGAAGACAGTCGATGGCTTCGAAATGACCATGGGAGTCAATTATTTAGGACATTTCCTGTTGACAGAATTATTGTTACCACTGTTGAAGAAATCAGCTCCATCAAGAATAATTATTGTATCCTCCATGGCACACTATGCCGGTCGACTGAATAAACCAGATTTGCAGCTTCGTGAGAGTGAATACAGTGAACTGAAGGCCTACAGTCAGTCGAAACTAGCAAATGTGATGCACGCAGTTGAGTTGAGTGAGCGATTGCAGAATAGTGGAGTGACGGTGGTTAGTTTACATCCTGGTGCGGTGAAGACTGAAATTCAAAGTTGTGTCAAAGGATTTTTCAGTGTGAGTTTATCACAGTGAAATGCGCCTCATATGTGTTTGTCTATTACAATTATTCTCAAAGTGAACCATAATGGAATTTCATTATATATAATATTATTTCGGAAGATGAATTATCTATTTTGAAAATAAGTCATGTCACGGATTTACAGACTAGGAGTATTTTAGAACTTTGTCAGCATGAAACACGGTATAACTGTGCTTTTGATCTCAGGCCTCCCAGATAAGTGAAGATCAGTTTGTTTCAATATTTTTTTAAAATTTTCATTTTATCTCCACTACTCACAATATTTCGTTGTCATTGAGCCTTCTTTTTACCTTGAAACAAGTGAGATTAAAACTGTCATAAACATTTTGTTGGGGATGAATGGAGAATACACTTTTCATCGCATCTTTTTCAGGTCATCACAGATACAGTAACCTGTTGTCAGTATCATAATAGTCAAGAATACTACAAGTACACATCCAAATGTGGTTAAAAATGAGATAAATCTCAGTTAATAAAATACGTATTTTAAGTTTCCTGTAGGTGTGAAGATATCCACATTTATTTCCCTTTCAATACAAAAAACTGATCAGACTCTGTATGCTAAGCTTCCGATTAAACTGCGTTTGAAACTGGTTGCTGTCCGCTAAGCAGTGGTCACAGGCATCGTGAGTATTTCTATGCCGGTATGCCCGTCTATTCCTGTTGTTAGTGAAAAGAATAGAACATGTGAAAGATCGTTTAGTTTATACCTATTAGATGTGCGTTAAACTATTAACTCCAAATAAACAGATTACGCTTATGTAACATCCATTTAGTAATTCATTCTGTGTTTCATTAGATAGACAAATGAGGTATTGATTTTTTGAAGTAGATCAAAAGACTGCTAACACAGGAAGCGAAGGCTTTTGGTTAATTTGGTTAATTCCACTATGAATTTCTTCATCCATAGATTCCCTTAAAAAATCCTTTTACTATTCTCCTGCTCACAAATGGCAACTGGACTTTACCACATCAAGTATGAGGCTGATGTCCATCAGTCAAATTCGGTGGCGGTGGAGATATGTGACGAACTGAGAGAATTTAGAGTTGATCATTGGATCCCATCCGACTAGCTGAATGGTCAAGGCGTTTGCCTTGTGATTCGAAGGTCCATTGTTTGTTCCTTGGTAAGGTTGCCGATAAAACTGCCGAACAGTGCCAAGCTAGGACGATGCAGCTGCTCAGTGCTGCATACTTTTTCAATGATTCTCTTACTAATGATATCGGTTGGTGATGAAACATACACTGAGAAGTGAAATGAATGTTTTTCATTGATAGGAGTAACAAAGAGGGGATCAGTAATTCTCTATTCACTTACATGTAATCGTCCACTAGGGTGGGATAGGGTAAAAGTATTAGAAAGTTATACGGTTAGGTGGATAGGGAAGTTAATCAGTGAATTTTTGTCCATTAGATCAACTGTAGCTTATCAAAATACACCAAGTGATTTCACATTTGATGTCGTTCTTAGTCAAATGCAACAGAACCGAAAATGTTACAGTTGCATTTTTCTTTGTAAACTGACCGTTATTTTAGTAAGTCTGTTTTGAACTAGGATACTTCGCATAGTGCTTTTAATTTGCCGCTAATTTTCATATTTCTTCTTCTTTTTATACAGAAAATGTTTGTTACACTAGTGCGACCGTTTTTCATCGATTCATGGAAAGGTGCACAAACCACGTTATACACTGTCTTATCGGATAAGTTAATATCCGGTGGGTACTATTCAAATTGTGATCTTAAAAAACCATCGTCTACAGTTAAAAATAAAGAAGAAAGAGAATGGTTTTGGAAGAGAACTTGTGAACTTTTGGCGATTGAAAATCAAGCTTAGTTGAGTTTTATGTGATACAAGAGAGACTATTTTCAATGATATTATCTCCTGTGAACTTTGTATTTTGTTTTAAATGGTAGCTGACATATTCAGACAAGATATTTGATTGCTGCGTGAACAAAAGACAAACCAAGCGTAAATTCGATTTAGTAATATTGTGAATTTTACAGCTGTTAGGATTACTAGTGACGTAGATTTGAGTATGTATTAAAGTATATGAATGCTTATAGTAAGCCTCAACTGTTCATGTATCTTCTATTTCATACAATGATTAACTTGAGTAATTCTTGAAAAACAATTAGTACCACTCATTTGGTGTATGTTGTTTTATACTTTTATAATGTGGTGTTGCTTTCAGCTATTTGGCTATGTATGACTATATGATATTGTTTTTTATTATTTGTATTATTATTATTATATTCCTGAACGTTCCCAGTGGAACATAGTGCTTCAAGCTAGAGCGTCGAAATTTCGGTAGCGTAGGTGTTTATTTTTTTTAAGGGATAGGGTTGCCAGTCTCATGCCCAACCTTCCCTCTTTACCTTTCTTATTACTGGCTTAGGGAGGTGAGGGAGTGCGTCGGCCGGGGGTCGAACCCTCAAACACATGCGTGGTTGGCAAGTATTCTACTATTGATTGTCTTTAAGTATCAGTATTTTACTGGAAATCAGTTCACTATTGATTTTTCCCCACATTTATTCTTACATTATTCTAGATTGTGTATCACTTCATTACGATGGAAATCCCACATATTTTGAGGAGAAATGTGTCGCGATATATATTATCTATAAAGCATAATTTATCCACACACCGAGAACTCACAATACTCAGTGATTTCGAACTTCAGAGAAACAATATTAGCTGACTAATAGAGCACATTTTTATGACAAAAAAAGGGATTTGATAGCAGACTTGAATATTTCACCAATAATTGTCTTTTAAAATGACTATGTGTATAAAAAACATCCTGAGAATGCACAATCTTTTAGTAAGGATAATCACCTGATAGAAACAAATATTCGAAAGTGAAAATACAGTCTCATTTCTAACTGGATGGGTGGTGTATTTTTAGTCTGATATGTAAATGTCAACTTCAAGTGTGTGATAATATTCGTTTACTCATTCATTTCTGCACTTGTTTGTTGTTTATGTGCTTGAGCCTGATGAAAAGAATTGCATTGTGAAATAAGTCATGTGTCACGGGAAGAAGACTCAGCTTATTACAGGATATATGACTATGATGACAATGTATGTGAAGAAACACAAAGATTTTTGTCTCGTGAATTTGTATATCTAATCATTATGCAACAGGTGGGTGACTAAACCCCCCACCTCCTGATCTAGTGGTACGCATTCATAGTAAGATATGAAGGCTTTCAGAATATCAAACTATTGTTAATAGCAATTTATTAAATAGAGAATTTAATTTAATTGTTGTTTTATCAATACGAATAGGTTGACAGATGAGATTTACATTTCAGAATATTACAAGTCAGACTTAGGAAATATTTTATGTAATTCCGTGTTGTGTTAGAAGGTGAAGTTAGTTTGCTTGTAGAATTCACTTATGCAAGAGGTGGGCGACAGTATTCTGACCTGTTTGATTCTTGAGGAAGGAGTATTTATTTTTCAGCTGTGATTCAGCTAATGGTTATTAATTCAAAGTACAAGGAGATTCGAAGGGGTTTGTGATGGTTGCAGGGGTAAAAATAAATTCTAAATCACCTATTCCTGTAAATTCTATTCAACTCAAATTCTGCCGGGGTTTTATTGACTTTAAGATCGGTCTTTTCACGTACCGGCGTTGGGAAAAGAACCACTGAGAACCAGCCAGCAGTGGACAGTTGTGTCGTATTAGTTTGCCACTCTTCGGCAAAACATGTTTGTGGCCCTATCAGGGACCAAACCTAGGACCTTCAGGTAACGATGTAAGCACGTAATCGTACAACCGATGGCCCATAAATTCTAAATCCTGCCAACTCACGATTTGTAGTGCCACATCTAGTTATTGTCTGTTCTGACAACCCACTTGATGGATCGCACTGTAAGAAGTGCATCCCTTAGCGAGTAATCAATGAGCATAGGATTGATTTTCAAATGTTAGTTTTTAGAAATTTGAATAACTTCATTATAACCCAGAGAATGCTGTTTACTTACAACATTTTTGAATCTAAACTTATCTAATTTTATAATAAATTTCAATTCGTGTAATCAAAAGTAACAATGGAAAGTAGAAGTGCTTCCGGTAACTCGTACAAACATAACTCTTAAACTCGATAAGCTAACCGAATATGTAGTTGACAGTATAAAACACGTTGCCAAGTTATTCAAACCCGAAGTGAATCTTTCCGAATTCTAGTTCGCTAATAATCATATTCACTTGAATAGTTTAGAAATATGTCTTATGTCACTAGTCTATTAGAGAGGGTTTTAATATATATAAAGAAATAGATAAGTAGACTGACAAATGAGGCGAATGAATCACTCGGTAAGTTGTGTATTATATGTTTCATGCAGTTGTTCAATAAATATGATGGTAAAGTCCTCATTTCTATGTCAAATTCCGTCGTTCTAGTTCTTTTTTCAAGATCTTATATGCCTAAGTTAACTAGTAAGCATAATCGGAAACTGTTCGGAGTTATTTCTTCTCACTTATACGACGTCCGTTTTTACTGAATTCAGTGTGGCACAGCGGTTAGGACTCTCGCCGACCATGCACATGGTGCGAGGTTTGATCCCCCACCGACGCACACCTGATATCTATGGTCGGCCTGTAAAATTTGGGCTACCGATATCACATGCTGAAAATTTCATACTTGTACCAAAATACTGTGTGAAATCAAGCTATAATAAAATAAAATTGTTGCAGGGCACAGTGACAGCTAATCTACTGAAGCTTCAAGGCCTAAATGCTATAAGTAAATAAAAATTTGACTCATTAAAACCATCAGATTGTAAATTCCCGCATATGTATGGCTTGCCAAAAATACATAAACCCAATAATCCTCTCCGTCCTATATTGTCAATGTGAAAATCCCCGACACATAAACTTGCAAAATGGTTAGTAGAATTATTGCATCCAGTTAAAACACAATTCTGTAAGTATGCGTTAAAAGATACATTTGAAATGGTTGATTTTCTTGACAATAGTAATATTAATATTATGAATAAGAATATGTACTCTTTTGATGTAAATTCGTTATTCACTAATGTGCCTTTGCTCAAAACAGTTGACATTTTGTGTGATTATATTTCCACAATTTTTTCATCCCGTTTCCTATATCTTATTTGAGGGATTTATTACTTCTATGTACTAACAATGTTTGGTTTACATTTGAAGGCGATTGTTTCCGCCAAGTTGATGGTGTTGTTATGGGAAGTCCGTTAGGGCCCCTTTTGGCAGATATTTATATGTCGTACATTGAGAATTTATCGGAGGATTTAATCGAAAATGTGCCACTTTATAGAAGGTATGTAGATGATATTGTAATCATCAGTGATAAGTCTTGTTCTGCCATTTCAATTTTAAATCGAATGAATGAAGTCCAGAATAGCATATCACTTACATCTGTAGAAGAGGAAGATAACTGTTTATCTTTCCTAGACATATTGCTTAATCGACGGCTTGATGGGTCAATAAAAAGATCTATTTATAGAAAACCTACCTGGACAGGACATTATCTTAATTACCACAGTTTTTGCCCTGTTCGGTACAAAAGAGCCTTAGTAAGGTGCCTCTTCAGTAGAATCCAACGAATATGCACTGAAGACACACTTGATGCGGAAGAAAGAAAGTTGAAATAAATAAAAATAAATAAGTTATTAGATCCGTCTATCTGTATCACTGAAATTGTTTGCTGACATGATGCATATGAATTTATCACCTTTTCGTTTCAAGAGAATTTTTAAATGGATATTTAAAAGAAGTTTAATTTTTTCACAAAGTTTGCTGTATTATAAGCAAACTTTGTTTTTGACATTGACATGAATAGAATACAAAAAGTCGTCAGTGAATATGAAATTCAACATTTTAATTTATCAGAAACTGAGTGAGAAGATTTCATTAGTCAAATTTTGAATATTAATTAAAGAATTTCTTAAATCACGCATCCAAGAAGTACTGCACACTTTGTTATTTCTGGAAGTCCTTATGTGAGATGGCTGGAAACAGTTGCCAGGATTCTCTGTATCTAGGTATCTTATTGGTAGTCATCTGCAAAATAAATGCACAAATTTGGAAGAACTGGTGAATTTACGGCGGTCCCAACCAGCACCAATCAAGAAATCTGTCAAAAACGTTAGTAGCGAGCTGTTTGCATCTACAGCCGACCAATTGTAGGACTGTAATGGTTACATTGATTCATGTGTCACGTGTCTATTTCTCAGTGATGCTGACCTAACTGCATCAGTTAGGTCTCCAATCAAGAAGGTTCACCACTGCGATGGCCCCTTTTAAGTGATGTTGTATAGTGGCCACGTTTCAAATCGACTGACAGAATTCATTCAGTACCGTTAGGAACTAAACACATAACACTGTTTACTACTGAGTAACCAATCAATATGTGAAGTCTGTATACATGTATGACGAATGCTTGTGAAATAAATATTGCTATAGTGTCACAATCTCTGCCTTTAGAGAGTTTTTAGCTGCTCAGTGCACTATGAAATACTGAAGGAGAACAGTTGTTAGTCAATTTCACCTATTCTGTCTCACTAGATTCATTACCGTTATCTAACATGTAAATTTTTCAGTTGGTTACTTCAAAGATACCGAATCATATTCAGATATGATCTGTGTTGATATTCAGTCAGTATTGAACATTGTTTGTGAAGTTTTTGAATGTGTATATTTCTTTTATTGTATTACTTTTTAAGAAAACCAGAGCAATTCAGACTGACGCGAGAACTTTATACAGCAGCTGAGTGCCTTCTGAAGTTAAGTGTCAATCAATAAAAAAGATTTAAGAGAATATTTTGTGGATGATGTTATGATGGAATCGGCAAAGATATCGTTTCGGCGATTTTATTTTCAAAAGCTATACAATCCCATTTAAATACACAATTTTACATAGATACAATTTTTACTTGATTCCACATAATCACGAAGGCGAATGAAAGGTGACAATTATTTTCAACTAGATATGGTTTACGAGAGGATTAGAAACAAAATTACACAGGAATAGGATATGATTGTAAAATAGTTATTTTAAACGAATTATAAATGTTAGCAGGAAAAGCATGGAAACACACTTAAAATAACTGTTCTTATAACTGAAAAAATGGGGTGAATTGAATAAAGACAGAGGGAGTAAGAATCACACGCACAGCGAACGAAAAAAAGATCAAAAAAGAACGAAAGAAAAAAAATCGGAGGATGAGGGAAAATACCGAACTAGGTCCATGGTAGTTGTAGAGGTTGGACTAATTTCTTTTGAACACACAGCTCCCGCATTTCGGTGCATATTGTGAGGGCTTCTGCAGTACAGAGAATTTGGAAACACACTGCTTTTGGTTGGTTTCTGTTTTCTCTGTAAATTACTTCGAATGAATCATTTGAAATTCCATTATGGGTAAATTTTATTTTGATAGAGTCTCACAGTGTTATACAGTAATATTTACTGTAATAATAATAATATTTACAGTAAATATTACTGTATAACACTGTGAGACTCTATCAAAATAAAATTTACCCATAATGGAATTACACTCTACCACAGTGCCCAAGTTTTATTCTTATATCAACGAATCATTTGAAATGTTGTGGGAGGTGCTGACCAGATGTTCAATAATGGCACTTCTGATTGAACCGGTGCCTCCTCTTTGCAGCCAGGCTGAGTAATGTTCTCTAACCCGTTTCGATAGGACGCTCATACAACGACCTATGTACCTAGCTCCATACGAGCAGGTGAACTGGTATATGCACATTGAATTGGTCATGTGCGAGAATTTGTCCTTAGCGTTGTTTCGAAGTATTGGACGGCTAGAGAATATCACTCTTAGTGTTGCTGCAGTGAAGGTCTTCTTTAAAGAGCTGGATATTCTCCTCTTCAGGATATTGGCTGCCAAAACCTCCCCTGAAATTCAGATTCAGATATGGCGGTTTCTTTGGCGCTGAATCGCATTCTTCTCTTTTTGGTTTAGGTTTCATGTTCTTCTCGACAAAACGTGTCGGGTAACCATTTTGAGCCGGGACATTTTTGAGGAATAGGAGCTCCTCTTCCATGCAATCGCTGCTGCAGATTTTTCTAATGCTATGGGTTAGTGCGATGATGAGAGCTAGTTTTCGGCTCAAAACTATCTAACTATAGAAATGCGTTAGTTGGCCGTTCCATGTTGACTATATCCTAATTCTGTGTAATTTTTGTTTCTAAGGCTCTTGTAATCTATATT